GTGGCTTGTACTCCTTCAGAATTGGCTTGGGTAGTGTTGGAGTTTCTTTTTCTTTTTCTTTTTCAGCTTCTTCTTCAACCAAAACCTCTTCATACTCTTCAGCTTCAACTCCTTTTTCTGTCTCTTTCACATCTCCTTCTTCCACCAGAACTTCTTCAAATTCTTCTTCTCCAGCTTTGTTTTCTGGTTCAAATAAGCTTGGGCTACCATAAATTTTTCCACTTCTTAAGGAAATAGCACTCACATTGTGCTTCAGATTATTTTCTGTGTGCCCCGGTAACTTTCCTTGAGATTCCAGTCGACCGATAGAAGTGGCAAGTTGAGACACTTGTTGCTCCAGATTCTTGATACTAGCTCTAGTTTCGGTCTGGAATGCTTGGGTGCTCGTGGCAAGACTCTTTACTATATCTTCTAATGCCACATTGGAGCTACTGGGTTGATGTTGCAAGTTCTAATTCTGGGAATTCAAGTTCTGAAAGTTTGGCTGAAAGTGAGAATTTTGATGAAAATTTGTGTGCTGAAAACCCGGTTGCTGAAAATTTCGTTGCTGCTGAAATCCAGGTGGAGGCTGAAATTGTTGTTTCTGCTGATAATTATTCTAAAAATTCTGTTGGTAGCCCCCGACAACTTTGACTGCAACTGTATCCTCTTACAATATTGGGCACATATCTGTAGGGTGATCAATCTTCAAGCAAATCCCACATTGTTTCTTTGCATTTGCTTTTTCTTTAGTCAAGAGCAGAACAGCTTTCGTCAATTCAAATATCTGAGCTTCCAGATGAACATTGCTGACTTCCTTAACTCCTCTTGGCTAACCTGGATACCACTCATCTTCATTTCCAGAATGTTTAGACTTGATCGCCAGCTTTTCAATAAGCTATCTGATTTCAGTTAGGGTCATGTCACCCAAAGAACCACCACTAGAAGCATTTATCAAGCGCCTCTCCATAGGTGTCAGGCCTTCACAAAAACAATTGTAGAGTTGATAATCGATGATCCCATGTTGTGGGCACCGTACCAAAAGTTTCTTGAATCTTTCCCAGTAAGTATGTAAAGCTTCTCTTTTTCCTTGTTTGATCCCAAGGATTTCTCTTTTGAGACTGGAGACTCGCGTTTCTGGAAAGTATTTCTCTAAGAACGGCTTCGCGAGTTCTGTCCAAGTGGTGATGGAACCAGATGGGAGTTCATATAACCATTCCCTTGTAGAATCTTGAAGCGAAAAGAGGAATGCCCTTTATTTGATCTGGTCTTCAGTAACTGCATGACGCTTCATTCCAGAACAAACCACATGAAATTCCTTGAGGAATTTATGTGGGTCTTCGTTTTCCGGTCCGCGGAATGTGGGAAGAAGATGAATCAGCCCAGATTTGAGTTCGAAGTTCTGGGCTTCTGGAAAAGTGATACATAGAGGTTGTTGGGTAACCTCTTCTGTTGCCCACTCGCGAAGAGTCTTTTCAGCATCGTCTCCATTTTCGCTCATGTCTGATTCTTCAGAATCGGATTCTGAAGAGTCTGGTTTCAGATTTAACGGAGGAAGGTGGGGAATAAGTTTTATATGGGATGTTTTGAGGTGATGATGGGGCTACTTTTGGAAAATACGGATCTGATTCGTTCCACAAGAGAGTGCCTTGTGGTGTGGAGGTTTCTGGGGGTATGGAAGATGATGAACCAAAGAGACCAGCTAATTGTTTTTTTCTTCATGCTTCTTTCTTCAGTTTCCTTGCAGTTCGCTCGATTTCTGGATCAAAAACTAAAGGTGTACCTGAACGAAAAATTCTTGGCATAAAACTATTAGAAAGCACCGTGTCCCTGGCAATGTCGCCAATTTGTTAACACGCTGTCGCGCACGTATTAAACAAATAAATTTATCACTGTCGGTTGCACTAAAAATATAGCACAGGGAAGCAGGGTCGAATCCTCAGGGACACAACCTAAAAGTCAATGCCTTTTTGCATCAGGCACATCTAGTCAAGAAACAGAATATAAAAGGGGGGCTTTTTGATTAAAACTAATAACTAGAAATGCAGTGATAATAAAGTAAACGAAAATCAATAATAAAAATGGTTTCAGCTCTGCTGTGACTTTCATAATCATGCAATCAACATTGACCTAGTTATTTAAGATGTGTTCTATCTAAGCTAGTACTGAGAAAAACTAACAAGCTCTAGTAATTTCTCTTTTACCTTATTTAGTTAACCAAAACAAGCTCTTCAATTAACCCTAACTTTTTACTGTTCAATTAAATAAGCTCTTAATTAAGATCAGAAAAGTTGCATTAACTTCTTTGTAAATTCCCAGCAATAACCAATACTTCTCACAAGCTCGGAAGCGTAAAGATATGATTTTTACAGTTTATACCAGAGTTAAATCCCAAAACGGAACCAATCTGATACTTGTTACTTTTACCAATTTATTAGAACAAATACGGATTCTATTAATTGATTAACTGGAATGATAAAACCCTAGCTAGGTGATCAGACTAACAAGAATCAAAATCAAACATTCATTAAGAACAAAACTGAAGAATCTAGATAGAAACACAAATCAAAAACCAGATCTAATGATCAATCACATGAAAAGTACTTGTCTTATGCAGAACTGAAAACTAGGGTTTAGCCAGACATGGCCAAAATCTGATCTAAAACAATAAAAAGAAACATTAAACTACTAAATCTTACTAAACTAAACGTAGGAGATGATCCACAGTCTTCATATCTTCAGAAATCGCTAAAATCAGAGAAGAAACGCCTCCAAAATCGTATTTTCGTCGTCTGGAACCTCTGGAATCGCCAACTTAGGTTACTGGAAGGTTATAAGGTCTATTTATACGTCCAACAGCAAAAACGACGTGCATGCGATCGCATGTACACAACCTGCGATCGCAGGTTGTGAAGTAAACGCGTCTCGTACCTTTTTAATGAAGTAGGATGCTATTCTAGAACTTTTTGGCCAACCTGCGATCGCATGTACACAACCTGCGATCGCAGGTTTTCATTTTTCACTTCCGGATGAATTTTTGGCACAGAAGAACCTCGAAGACAAGTTGCGACCTAACCTGCGATCTCATGTTGTGCCTAAGACATCCGAAATTTCGTCTACTTTTCTGATCATTTTGAATCGCCTCAATCGGAGTTACGGTTCTCGAGATATGGTCAAAATACTGATGGGGGGTCAAAGCTGCCAGCAACATCCTTTAACTTTAGATTGCAGATTCTATCTTCGTCTGATCAATTCGATCGAATGTTTTTTGACCAAAGCATCTTCCAATCATTCCACAACATACTCCATAAGTCCCAAGCTCCATTTTAAGCTCCAAACACGCATCCAACTGCTCCCAAAGCACTGCTCCACTCGAACTATCTGAAATTGACATAAAAACATAAGCAGTACGGGAATTCTAACGAAAGACATGAGCTGAACATTATTTAAATAAATGACATGAAAATGTACAAAATATGATCCTAAAATGATAATAAAAACTACCCTATAAGATGCATAAAATGGCATCTAACAAACATCTTGTATGAGTATCTTCATTCTTTTGAGCAACATTTGGACAAAGTTGAGCATCCTAGTGAACTTGACACCTGAGTGGTGCATCAGGAGCCATGATGACACATAATGAACCTTTGTGGTGCATCATGCTCTATTATGGCGCATCCTCCTCTTGAATGGTGCATCCACCTCTTGAATGACATATCATGTCATTTGGTGGCATATTCTGTCACTTGGTGGCATATCATGTCACTTGGTGGCATATCAAGTCACTTTAGCATATCCTGTCCTTTGTCAAGAGATCCATTCCTTTGTCAAGAGATCCATTCGCTTCTCAGATGATCCATTCCTTTGTCACATGCACCATGAATCCCAAGTGCTCCATTGAGTTCCTAGTGCTTCATGTTGGACAATACTTCATACCCCTAAGTGGATTTATTAGTAATGTAGGAGTTCCTAGTGCCTCCCTCTGGAACTCTCAACATTTAATTAAACTAGGTATGAGTCCCCTGCGATGCGGGGGTTAGCTATTATTCCTTATGTGTTTTGATTTAGTTCGAGTCTGTCTTTGTTTCTAATAAATGTTGTAGCGCATTGTAAATAACTATTTTAATAATAAAATGTTACACACAAAGAAAATAGATGATATGAACTTGTTTATCATCACCTCTACTGGTATAAGCAAAAGATTAACAAAATATTACATAGATCTGCATGCACTTAGTTACGCAAACGAGACAAGTTCACGATCTGAAGAGCATACGCCTATGCATAGTCGTCTGGGAGCTCTTTGATGATGGTTCTGTAGGTTGCAATCCTCTTCTTCACATTTGCAATCATGGTGGAGATGTTGTCTTGCATGTATCCATTGTCATCCTTTGCATCTGCCAGAAGTTTTCACACATGACGAAGGTTGTGAAGCGTAGGTGGCGTTGTAGGTTGGCGTCGCATTCATTCGTTGTGGCCATGTCTTCTTCAATATCGGTCATGGCTGCCTCCAGTGTTGTAATCCTTTTGCGCAAGTGGGTGACCAACGTCTGGAGCATCATTTCAACATTTGTGCTTTTAATTTTCTATATGAGGAGTTATTTTTGTGTTGGTGTGAGGATTTGGAACGAAGGGTCGTTCTCTTTTGTAGTCGATTAATCTGATCTGATAGGTTGGAAGAGAAGTAATAGCATTTATATTGTATTTATGTTTATTCCAATTTTCGACGTTTAAGAGATCCTCAGGTTTGATTTGGTGGTTGGGAGGAGTTTAATGTGGCAACTGTATGGTTTTCAAGGTGACGTCTATTTAAGAACTATACTTATGGCAAGTGAAGATAGTTTTTATTTGGAAGCTATTAATATAGAAAACATTTGACTAAACACAGTTGTAAATACTATTCGATATACCTATTTTTATTTATTTCATGCTACATGCGAACATAGTTCATGAAATTCACTACATAGATAAAAGGGACAACATAATAGGTATTCGAAAGATGGGCATGCATAAAACAGTTACTCCTCTGTCAAGTTCTTCATCAGTTGTTTATATTTGCCAAATCGCTTATGAATTGACGCCGGCATAAACGATGTGTTATCTTGCATGGACAGGTTCTCCATTTTTGAATCTTCGAGAACTTCTTTAGTAATGTTGTAGTTGGTGTCGTCTTCTTCTATAGGGATACCATTGTTAAAATCGTTGTGGATCTTCGCTCCTTCCTCAATTGTTACCTGAACCACTTCCATTATGTCGCCAACTTCTCGTACATGGCTAATTAGTTCTTGAAAAAAATTTCGAACTTCGATATCCTTCATATTTTTGTAATGTAGTATGCATTTTGATGTGTGTATATGGAGTAACGGTGTGTTTCTTATATAATTGATTTATGTTAATGTTTACTGTTGTTTGGTAAGTGGTGGCAAAGTATTGAGGTTGGTCTTATGACGTGTATACTTAAGGTGGGAATTTGGTAGCAATGTTATACGAGGAGTAGGTTATATATATATATATATATATATATATATATATATATATATATATATATATATATATATATATATATATATATATATATATATTTCATTTGGGTGGATGTGTATATGTTTTTAATATTACATGCAGATATGTAAATATTAACTTCTATCTAATCTGAATAGTCTGATTTGGGAATTTTATTGAGCCCTATATCAATTTTCGGCATTTGGATTTGGTTAATAATTTTCTTAATAATTTTTTTTCACTATATTTGTTTTTTTTATTATTTTATGATATAAAGAGATAGATTTTGCGTTGATTTTTCTTCTAACAATGTGGACAAGTATAAAGTGTGAGCCTATATAAATATGCATTATTAAAACAATTATTTGATTGATATTTTACTACAAACTATATATATATTTTTAGGAATTATATATTTTTTTTATTTTATGATATAAACAGATAGATTATGCATTGATTTTTCTTATAAAGTGTGAGTTTATGACCTGACTCGTAGCTGAAGTTAAGCCGGAGTAACAGATATTTGATTAATATTTTATTACAAACTATATAATTTTTTACAATTTATATATGTTTTTTAATCATTTCGTGATATTAAGAGATAGAATATGCATTAATTTTTTTCTAAGAATACTGACAAACTATGGTTTTTTGGAAAAATAGAAAATGTGTAAGGAGGATGTAAGTTTATCTAGACATGCATTGGTAAAAGAGTTAATACAAAACATAGTTGTTGTTATGTCTATTAAACAGTGATTACAAAGCATAGTTATTATGTCTATTGTTTTGTAGTAGTATACACACAGAGCTTGAGTCTATACTGATGTTGTAGAAGGTAATAACATTTATGGTGATTTCTGTCCCCTTTTTCGACTTTTTGGAGCTGGAGATTTATCTGCACATCCAAAAAACAAAGTTAAAATATTTTATTTTTGTTATATATATATGAATGGTATGCTAATACCTGTGGTTTGAATAGAGAGGCTTTTTAGGCATGTGACCTATGTGATGGGAGTGAACTGTTCCAAGTGTCTGATTGATGTCGACAGTATTGGATTTTATAACTGGTGTTAGAGTTGTTGGAATTGCTGCTTCATTCAGACCAATAATGTCTCCCATGTCAACAATTATGAATCTGACATTTTCAGAGGTTGAGGACTTTGACATCTGAATAGACATGTTTTTTAATAATCCTCTGCAATTTGTGATAATTGGAAGTAGAATCTTTCTATTGATTTGTTTGTTATCAGACATTATTTTTTTGCAATAATGGACCCACTAGAGTCGGTAATTGTTCCAGTAAGTCGGTATCTGTGTATATTTAGATTTATCAGCCAATGTTAGATATCATATGATTTCAATTTTACATAATGACACTCACAGAAAAGTGGGTGTTACAGTCATTCCATGGGCACTACAAAACCAGTTTTTACCCCTCTCAAATATTTGATCTTTGCAGTCAGGGCATAGTACTGGGCACCAATAGTCTTTCGAATTGAATTATGTTAGTGTTGCTTTCAGAGTGAAGGTTTTATCCTATATGTATATAATGTATGATATTTGAAATTTTTTATAGCATACAAAAAAAAATATATGAGTAATGTACAAAATACCTGCAGTTTAGTCTGAGATTTATTATTGATGGTATAGAATGTTGTTGGTATACTAGATGGAACGGATGGTGGTCTTCAAGGTCCAGTGAATCTATATGTTTTATTTTTTTAGTTGTAGGTTAATATGGTTGACTTTTGTTTTTAGGATTGTAATTAAATATGTTATCTACCTGTCCATTAAAGTTGTTGTTTCTACCATCGGGAGATTGACAAAGACATGAGTTGTACTTGATGAGCCAAATCTGAATGTTCCTGAGAAACATGTAAAAGTTCTATAAGTGTATTTTAGAAGTTTTTTAAATAAGAAAACATGTGAAGGTATGTTTTGTTAGTATTAGCTTCTTTTCATTAGTGTTACCATCTGTTAGTGAAGTTCGTAGGCTTGTAACAGCAACCATTGTAGTTGCAGGTGGTGGAATGAGATCTTCCCAGTTAAACTTTTCGGGGACGTCAATACATTCTTCCCAGAGGTTAATTGCAAGATCATTAACATTGATGTTCACACATAAAATACAGGTTAATAGCTGGTAGAGTAGATTTATTTTTTCATGTTTTATATGTACGTTGGATATACCTTTCATCAGCAACAACCAACAACAGGAATGACTCTCCATTTCTTTTCTTGCAATCTCTAAATTTTGTTAGTACGCCAATAAAATATGTTGTGTGAATAATAGAAAACATCATATATGCACTTTTTTATAAGTAGTATGGAAAAAACAGGAATATTTACAATATAGGGATTCGAAGTACACATCTAAACACTAATTCTTGTATATAGTCTATACCTAGGCAGTAAGGTGGGTTTTCACCAAGGTTGATGAGTTATGCTTTTGAGACAAAGCAAAACCTAGTGGTAGGAATTGTGATTGTATATGGGACGCCACAATTACAGAAGCGATGCCTACATCCATTTATATGTGACTCTGTAGAATTTTTGATATTGATCTGCCTCGGGACAAGTGTATTCTGATATTGTGTAACAACCACCGATGTTTAGTACATATTCTATATACTCTTGATTTGTTCTCTGTCCCAGGATTTGTATAGCATCACCCGTAAAATGTTTGAGATAAGGAGATATGAGCAACTGTTATTATGGTGACTGTTATGATGTTATTTAAAACAATATGTACCAACCAGCCTTTCTACAGCAAGGAACCAGGTTTCATGTCGACGATACTGTGGTTTTGTGACATCCCCAAATTCACGGTCATTTTAAAATTTTTATTTATGCTTATTTAAAAATCAAAGTATCCTTTTTGAAGAACAATAATGCGGAATTTGTTCCCAGAAAAACATGATAAATATAATATCAAATCATTTCCGAAGAAATGTATTTTATTTATATTAAAACATTGGGATGTCATCGTCAACACATAAAAATAAGCATAAACAGACCTTACATTCATTTACACTAATGATTTACATTTCCTTTAATCTCTCAATGTAATGTATCTTCACATCAATACATGTGATAAAAATAAACTGAGTGGGTCAGGTTGGGCAACCTGGTGAGTACATAGGGTTTTCAACCCACAATAATATAGTTCATTTGTTTTTTCACATACTTCATGTCGAACAATTAACCCAATGACACATCCCCATTATATTCTTTATTCTTAAGGATCTACCCTAAGAATCATCTATTCTTCCATATTTATTCCTAACGATTGTCCTAAGGAATTGGCACGAATTCCATCGATGTCAGGGTTTATCTAACAGGCACTATGTCCATAGCTTCCGATGTTATCTATTAGGCACTAAATCCATAGCTGCCAACGTTCATTTGTAAGGCACTAAGTTCATAGTTGCCAATGATCATCTATAGGGCACTAAATCCATAGCTGCCAACATCCATTCATAAGGCACTAAGTCCATAGCTACCAAGGTTTTTATAGTACATCTCGTGAGCACGTAGTTCAAAAACACCTATAGGTTGCGAGCTTACTAGCGTTCCACTGGACTGTCTAGAATACTCTGTGGTCATCATCTATACTCCGCTAGATGACTGGATCATTGTTAAGGTCAAGGCTTCTAATCATATTTCACCTCTCATTATCTATATCATCTTTCATTTACACATCTTTACCCAATATATTTATAAGTATAAAAATACATATACAGTTTAAATCAAGTAAAACACGTATAAATCGTTCATCTAGCATAGATATCAGGAACACAGATAATAAGCAGATATAGCACGTATTAATATTAAATATTTCGTATCTATGTGTAAGATGAAAGTAACTATGCACTCACTTGTTAAAGTGATGACTCGTAATTCGGGCAGCGCTTTGCTTCTAACAATTTTCTTTTCCTTCGACGAAACCTAGTATCATTATCACTAGATTTTAGTCTAATATTTATTGCGACTAATTATTAGTCTAGATTTATTATTAACTCAAGTTCTACGAGCAATATTGTTTTTCTTGTATTATATAAGTGTTAAACAATACTTTTCAACTACTATGTACAGACAGGGGCAAGACATGAAACATCGGAGGGTAGGACCATTTTGGCATTTAAGCTGTTCTGAAATCCAAAAACCCTATACGGCCCTTCAAACCAGATTCCCCGTATCGTGAGCAGTTAAAAGGTATTATAACAACACTTTGTATAATTTATAATACTTAGCACATATATTGTTTATAGGTTCATAATAACGATAATGAACTTAAACATAAGTTATACTTAAAGTAGAGTAAGCATAACTTACTTACAAGGGGGTTTTAGCTAGGAGTCGGGCTCTGCAGGGGCAGAACTTCGTCGTTGAATCTTTCTTAAAAGATTCTTATAGTGCTATCACTCACCTTACTATACTAAAACTACAGAAAGAGAAGTCGAATCACGAGGGACCGAAATGATCATGGGATAAGAAGAGAAAGACTCTTGAATCAAGAGAATGGTGCAAGAAATATGAGAGCCTAGAGGCTCTTATTTATAGTAATTGAATTTTCAAAAACTACCATCTATATTTACTTAATGACCTTATAGTTATTTAAACAACTAAACACCCCTTTATAATACTATTTTAAATAGATTTAACGATATTTGTACTAAACTAATGTCAAAAGTACTCAACACTAGTCTTATAACAACTGCATCGTCAATACCTTTCTAATGATATATACATATGTATATATATGTTTACGTATATATTATTTATACTTTATTTTAATACATAAATATGCTATTATAAA